TGACCTGCATGGGCTCGACCCGGATAGGTCAGCGGGCGGCCTGGGTTCTAGTCCAAAATTTGTGGGTCAACCTGGAACCAGCCTGGAATCCGTAGTGGGCGGGCTTTTTTTTCACGCGGGCTGTTACCGGGCTCATATGTTGACGGGCAGACCCAGTACGACCCACCCGGATTGACACCTCTAGTTTCAGGGAAAGAAGACCATAGCAGATCATATGCAAGGGGCTATAAATTACACAACAGATATGCAAAAGAACATCAGAAAATTAAGTTTTCAGAGAGAGAAGCTAAAGAAGTTGTCAAATTCAGGCAGCCTTAGCAACGAGGATGAAAGTTCCACTAGATTTTTGCATAGTTAGTCACAGGGAACCCCTGCCAGGATGGTGAAGAAATTCTAATCAGTAGCAGCTTAAAAGCGGAAGGGTTCCCCCTCTCAAGAGTTCTTGTGGAATTGCTTGAGAGAGGGCTTAATGTTGTTAGCTATGTTTCTACAAAAGCAAATGAAATGTCGCTGCATATAATTCAGTGTGAGGTACAATTTGTGGTAGTAATTATTATACGGTTAGAATTAGGGTTTCTTCTGTTATGCATTGCTTTCCAGGCCAGCGATATCAGATGCAATGATCTATCCACGCTTACAGGAAGACTGACCGACGTGATTAACCTTAGACGTGATAACTCTTAGATGAGTGTCTGAGAAGATGAACATCACATGGGTTTGTGTCATTTCAAAAGGTATTTACATCTCATGTGTGACGTGTGTATTCAAGTATGGAGTAGCTAAATAGTTTCGAAATGAATATACATGTACTTTGGCTGTTTCCAGTGTTTCTGTAGATTTTTTATCTTCACTGTTAAAGATGGTTGATTTAGTTTAATATTCGAACATGGAATTTACAAGTATTATAGCAGTCTTACACTACCATTGTTATGTCTGAAATGTTACCTTCCCTTTTTTGCATCTTTTTCATAGTTTTGTTTGTGAAGGTTATTGTTTCTCTGGCACGTAGAATGTACTTATAAACAATGTTAAGAAAAACAAATAAGCTGATAAAATAAGGTTATTGTTTGGTACCTAAAAATTGTACAACTAAACAATATTAAGAGGGAAAAAAAAAGAGAAATTTATACTCTTTTTAGTGTTGAGATCCATGTTTGGTACATTTCATCATTTATCTGTTGTTAGAACTTATCTAATGTCGTTTAAATATGATTATAACTATTTCTCCCTATTTAGAAATGAATTTTAACTTTTAAGTTTGATATTCTTACAAGATGCATGATAAAATTGCTTCTCATTAAAAAAAAAAAAGAAGCTAAGAACAAATATAAAATTTATAAACATTTCATATATAAATTTTAGTATGATTTTTATTTTCTTCATTACAGAATAATTTAGGAAGTTTCCCATACAATATCTTAATTTTTATATATTCTGATCTTAAAATAATAAAGCCAAACAAGGTATATAATTGTTTAATTGCTTAAGATATCCTCTTGATACTGTTGGTAGGATTTCTTAGTTTCTCTTTCTTCCTGCCAGACCATCTGCTCAAATTTATGTATTGGACAAAAGAAGCAGGTTTCGGTAGATACATATGAAACATTATTTGATTATCATTTTTTTGCACTTCCCCGCTAATAATATTATTGGAAATGTATAATCAGCAAATTAATCTTGCACGTTTTTTTTTTCATAAAGTTAACCGGAATTACTTTATTCAGTGTAAATTACAAAAAAAAAATGTTTTGTATCATCAATCCTACATGTCTTTGGCAAATATTCAATCATCGATGATATTACGTCCCATTTCACTTGGCCTACGCATGGCGAGGCAATCCATCCAGGTGGCTTGACGACCATTAATTGGAGATCATACTTTTTGGCACCATGGAAAGCTCGAAACTAGGGTATGACGATGATACTTCCTAAAGTTATATGTGAGAATCCGAGACTCATGAAATGGAAGGCATTAAAGAATCAAAAGAATTGTCTCTCCACAGTCGTAACGCAGATTTTAGGGGATTGAGGCAAACTTTAGAAGTTGTGCCTCCAAATTATAGCGTGCCTCAATTTTTTCGTTCACAAGAGTTTTTTCAAAACAAAATTTTAAAATCAAAAATAAAAGGGCAAACAAAATATAATATTCAAAATATTATAATCAAATAATAATTAAGGTCGAAATTGTTTCAAATTATCACTTGAATACTACTAGCTAGCCTTGCAATTTATATTATTACCAAACAATAAAATTATTTTTATCATCTGGACAACGATTTGATCATTTTCACAAATGTAGGAATTTAGTATCTCTCATGTCCCCAGGCGGAGCCAAGAATTTTAACTTGTGCCTCGAGGGTAGTGCCTACAGCAACTGATAGAGAGAGCCACATTAATAACAATAAAATTATTGATGTTATTCAAAAATTTTGTTGAAAAATAATTAATTTTAAATTAAAAGCACATAAAATAGGATAAAATATGGAACCAATAAAATGACAACACACTTTAATAAAAAAAAAATCAAGTTTTGACAAAACAAAACTCAGAAAGTCGAAAAAATTGCGAAAATTAATGAAAATCTATGCACATAAATACAAAAATAAAGTAAATAAAATGTAAAAAATTCATTCTCGATACATAAGTTAAAGAAAATTATATTCAAGTTAAGTAAAAAAAGAAAAACTACAATCATTCTTCAAACATTTTATATAATTTTCTTCGCAAATGACCGTGCGCACAACTATATTTTGATGAGATTTGTGTGTAAAAGGAGATTCAGTAATTCTTTTCTAGATTTTGGAATTGAAAGTGTAGGAAACGTTAATTTTGTCTAAAACGATAAAGTTGAAGTGTTTAAATATAATATTTTTTTCAACTTTACCTTTCTAAAGGTAAGGAAATTAAGGTAGATTTTGATAAGATAATGTAAACAAATATGCAAATGAAAGTAAGGGTAGAGAACAAAAACGTCCTTTTTAAAGGTTGGGAACTAATTTGCTAAAGATTTAAATATTGGGGACTGATTGCACAAATAAAAAAGTCAATTTAAAAGTTGGAGAATAATTTCCTAGATATTTAAAAATTGAAACTGATAGCACAAATTTCTCAAAATTAAAAAAATAAATAAAATAAACGAAAAGGACAAGAGGCCAATTGGGATTTGAAAATACCTCCTTCCATATAAAGGAAACTAAAAATTTTATCTCTTTGCTTCAAGGGTTTTCTATACATTATTGTAACAATTATATTTTATTTTATAAAGGCAAAAAGAAAAAAAAACATTTTCAAGATTTTTCGGATCCAAAAAATTTTAGGCATGAGATGGCCACCACATAGGCTTCATTAGGGATGGCAAAATGGCTCATCGGCTAGGGCGAGCCACATGGGCAGGCCTGTGTCATGGGCCACTTTTGGCCCGAACGAGCCGCGCCTATTAAAAAAAAAATTTAGAAGTAGCTGCCTGCCTGCACTTTTTTTATTTTTTGATTTAAGTTTCATAAAAAAAATTGAGACGGCTTGGCCCGCTAAAGCTCGAGCTGAAAGCTCGAGTCGAGCCTCAATTTTTTGGCCGAGCTCGGGCAAAGAAAAGCTGAAACCTTTTTTGCTCGATCCGAGTCTGAGCTTCGAGTTTAGGCTCATGACTTGGCTCGTTGACACGATTAAGTCTCACTGCCCAGCCCTCAATCTCTATACTTACCCTCTTGTAATCTTTACTTAAAAACATAAAGTCAAGACGCTGTGCAAAGGTAGAAAAATATTATGGAATCCATTAACATCCGTGAAATTTATTGTAAAAGCTATACTAAAATGTAAATGGCTCAAGTATCCGAATACAACCACCTATCGCTGTTACATTTCTATGCCTAAGCAGTCTCATAGTATTATATATCTTGTAGACTTCGTATGTGGTATTAATAAGCACAAATAATTTTCCAGGTCAATAAATGATAAAAAAAAAATATCAACCAAGATAATTTTTTATGTAAATATTACCTTGTCCTACATTCAATGTTTTTCTTTTATTTCTATTTTTCCTTTATTTTTTTATAAAATTTTAGGCCCCTATATATAAACGAGGGGCTTGGTTATATTTCCTACCCTGTCTATTGAAAACACAAATACAAAAGGAAAGGAGACATAGGTACCCGTTGAGTTGTGTGTTCATATAGTATAATTTTGCTGTTATAAAATAATGAATTTTTTAGGCCCCTAGAGTCAACTCGTTCTCGTTCGATTATTTCATTTATGCTTCATTAAAATTTAAAAATGTAGATTTTTTTGTAAATTTTCTTGTTTCATACTAATTTAAGGCAACAAATATCTTGATTATTTTGAACCCCTAATAACTCATGTGAATTGATATAAATTAATTTTAATATTGAGATCATAAATATAATAATTCTGGAGTCGAATTTCAATTTTGTAGCTAGAACCGAAAAATGTACTAGAATCGAGAAAATCGACTAGTTTGGTCCAATTATAATTAGTTTCGATTGCTCCCACATAGAAATGCCCATACCTATTTCCACACGAGCCTTTAAAACTTAAAACATCATTCATTCATTTATTATAAGAACGAGAGGTGTTAAGCTTTTTATCATCTTGGCGTCGAGCTATATTTCCGCAAGACCTCCCCTACAGTATCATCACCATAGTAGAGATTAACCACACAAAAGTTACACTCATAAATAATTGTGAAAGCACATGGAATGACCTGCTTCGCATTTCAAAAGTAATTAGCACAATCAATGTGCTTATCCAAATTTCTCAAGAAAATTTTAGTGGTGGGGTCTCTTGTATCCCGTTCTTTATAAAGATATTGTAGGTAATCGTAGCATTAAGGGCCACCCAAAGATCTCAGCAACCCTAAGAAACTTATCTTCTACTTTATAAGCTCCATTGAATTATTAGTAAGAGGGATTGTATTAGAGATTTGAGAATCTCGGAAATTCAGTGGTTGAGATGTTTCCATTTCAACACGGCGATGAGCTGGTTTTTCAGCCCCCTTCTGTTATCAGAGAAGATCAAATCCAGGAAGATCTGAACACGGGTCATACTTCGCAGTATAATAATCCTAGTTCTAGCTGTTGGGAAGGGGGGCTACAGAGATCATTAGGTATTCAAGAAAATAATCGTGGAAGTACTTTTAATGAATCTGATATTAAGAAACTTACACATAGAGATATTGAACGACAGAGAAGACAAGAAATGGCTAAACTTTATGCTTCTCTTCGATCACTTGTTCCTCCTGAATATCTAAAGGTAAATTCATTATTTATGACAGTACTTTTTTCTTTCTTTCTTCCTTTCTTTTCCCCTTAATATGTACTTTGCAGAACATGAACATCTGGATTTACCAATGAACTGCAAATTAATGTAGCGCATCCCAAATTTGCGATGAAAATGCTTATTTCGTTAATATTGTATGTTTTTTCAGTAAAGATACCTGTAACAATTTATTCATGCTGTTTTAGGGTAAGAAGTCGATGTCAGATCTTTTGGAAGTGGCAGTAAATTACATAACAGATACCAAAAATAATATCAAGAATCTAGGTTTGCAGAGAGACAAGCTAAAGATGTTGTCTAATTCAGGCAATCTCAGTGCCAATATTGTTGGAAGTTCCTCTAGTTATTCGCCTGATTTAGTCGCAGTGAACCCTTGGTTAGATGGTGTGGAAATTCTAATCAGCAGCTTCAAAGAGGAAGGGTTCCCCCTCTCCAAAGTGCTTACAGAATTACTAGGGAGAGGGCTTAATGTCGTTAGCTGTTCTTCTAAAAAAGAGAACAGAAGGTCACTCCATATAATTCAGTGTGAGGTACTGATACAATTTGTAGGAGTGATTGATATCAGGGTTTCATTTGTTATACGTTTTATTCACATTTTCTTCCTCATCATTCTTGCAGGCCAATGGTCTCAAATGCAATGTTCTTGCAGCGCTGCAAAAAAGCCTGACAGATGTGATTAACCTTGGTCGCGAGACTTCTTAGGTAATTTTTGACACATGGATTTGTGTCATTTCTTAAGCATTTGAGTGGCGGTAATTTTCGAAGGTACTTATTCTGTGTACTTAAAATTTATGGTAGCTAAATTGATGTAATTTTAATGGATGTCCACGTACTTTGGCAGTTTCTAGTGTTTTAATATTTATTCTCCTTTGAACCTTTCTGTAGTGTACAAAGTTTTATTTCAATCTGCTCATTGTTTCATGCTCCTCCCTACGAGGGTAGATTTCTCAGTAGATCAATTTGTTATGATCTGTAATGAAACTCCGGTTTGATTTGATTAAATTTTCTTTATAGACCAAATGCAGAAATTTGTGACTTAGATAGCAGATATAGCTCATATATATGGATTTCTCATTCTTGTGTAAGTGTTGGAAATCTTAACACTATAATTTAGTGAAAAACTCTAAAATAAAGAAAAATCACAGGCCATAGAAGATGGACTATATCATAAAATGTACTTTAATCTCACAATAATTCTCACACGCCAAGAAAAATATCATTTTTCCTTGGAGACAATCAACAAGTGCACTCCCTTATTAGCTCTATTTAACGACTCCTTTTTAATTTTTTATCGGCGTGATACATCTAATTCCCTTAACAAAGGGAATAGACTACATCAGGAAATAGAAGTTCCTACCATAAGGAGGAAAAAACCCTAACTCTCCTATATTTTTTGTTTGATGAGAAAGAAACATTTCTTGTGTCATATGAATGGTCATGTTTACCCTATTAAGGGCAAGGTGATCAATATTTTGTGAATATTTGCACTTCCATTAAATTCTCTTGTAATGTGGATCGGTTTATGAAACAGATATATTTCTATGCCAATATTTATATACAAGATCATGAGAAACAAAGTTGGAAGGATTTAGGAAGACAATTCCCAACGGCTACTGAATGTTATGGAAAGAATTATTTGTTATCCATTTTATCTTGCAGCTATTCTTGTAATATGAAAATTCCTGTGAAAGGCTGTACATGTATAACATTTTCTACATATATAACATTTAGGAAAAGAATAAAGCTACTCAAACAGGGAAATTGACATGGTTTGGTGGCTGGCTGCTTTTTTTTTCCTAACTGTCAAATGAAAAAATGACACGTGTTTCCTGGTTTTAAAATTCTGTCACCTGTTCATGTAGCATGGTTCTTAAGAAAAACTTTCCAACGGTTAGTTTTGATGGAAGATCACGTGTACTAAGGCTCATTGCAATTTTGTCTGGTACAAAGTGATAATCAATTACAATGTGTTAAATACCTGCATGGATCAGCGGATTTTAAGCATTGTTAAGAGATCACTAAAGTTGTCGCCAAGTAGATGTTGAGGTTGTTGAACACAAATGCCAATGTCCTGAAAAAGAAAGGTGAGCCATGCAAAATCAGCTGTGGTTGAAGCAAGGGAACCGGGGGAGATTTAGCTTGGGGCAGCTTTCCCACACTAACTCTAAAAAACGTTATCCTATTTTAAGATAATTTTGGATTTTATAATTATGTCCCTGGAATCTGGCAAATATTCTAATTCGTACTATTATTACCATTGTGAATCGAAGTGAATTAATTGACTTTGGGCTCATTGGTGTTTGGACTTACTAATCATAATAGGATTAGGGCTTGCAGTAACCTATAAATACATCGTACGTGTTTAGGGTTTAATAGAATTATTATTATTATTCTGGCTATCGCAAGAGAAATAGGAGAAAACTCTAAATCACGTTCTTTCTAAATCCAACTGATGGTTGTGAAGTTCGTCGTTTTGGAGTTTCAATATGTTCTTGTATGTTTTCATTAGAGGCTGGAAATCTGGACGATTATAGCATGTTGAGATCGTGGCCCCACATGTTAAAAACGTCAAAGGTATACCTTCTATCACTGGTTCAATCTTAACACAAAGGTAATCCGTCTTTTGAATATTGAAAACAATCAAGCCATCGTGCAAATGAAAGAATCCAGATCTCATCGACGATTTGACTATGTATTAATGCAATTCCATCGCATAATTGGGAGGTTGTAAAAAAGATACAATGTGTGCCCACTAAAACGTGGAAATGTTTAAATGAATACGTGTATGAATTGTTAGACGAAGAAATCATTGGTTGGCCTGCAACTCAGATTTCTCAGGATAACTATCCTAATGTCTGTTGAAAATCTCTTAAGTGTTAGGTAGTGAATTTGATCCTTGGAGTGGAGATCTCATAGAATCTTATATCAAGACCGATGCACTTTGGTGGTGTTGGACATTGAATTATCTAAACTAACTAAATCAGGATCACAAGGATGTCCCAGAATTGTGTGAAGATTGATGAATGAGCAATACATGATTCATCACTCTCGGATAGTGAAAGAATAGAACATGCTTTTTCGTTCGCCTATGTTGATAGACGAATTCCATGGTCACGATGAGGTTATGAATTCAAAGATTTTCACTCATTGGATCAACAAAAGGTTATGACGAATAATATCATTGATTAAATAGATTTTTTTATTTATTCATATATAGTAATCAATTGGATTATAATGATGATGGTAATATATTTTCACAATAACATACTAGAAAGATTTTGTCATACCAAATCAAATTTTTCGTCGTATGAATTGCTTTAACACATTGCTAGGCATCAATCTTGGATGGTGGCGTGAATTAATTAATTCGAGTGGAATAATGATAAACAAAAATTTTAATTTATCTTATTCTAATCAGATGATCAACATAATAATATCACAGTGTTTGTCATTGTAAATAAAAACCTAATGGGTAACACATGAAAGGCAAGAATTAGAAATTAGAAATTGACATCGGACCTAGTCCAACTGAGAGATTATGGATCAATGTAAATGTTTAGCTAGCTTTAGTATTGTGAGCTGAAGTGAATCAATTCGATTAATTGAAATTTGGGCTCATTGGTGTTTGGACTTACTAATTCTAATAGGATAGGGATTTACAATAGTGGAAATTATACCACAACTTGATTTTAAAGGTCATTGTGCAAAAATCAGGAATGATGTTTAGTTATTCACAAATCAAGTGATAAATCAATTTTTTAATATTAAATAATAATATTCCAACCCCTATCCCCAGAGCATTCTATAATTTCAAATTCAATCCCCAAATCATTTCTTCCCATCCATTCTCTCTTCCTCTATCTTTTTATAGTCCGACCTCCATACTCTTTGATGCCTTTTCTCTCTATCAACCCATACTTCCCTCGGCCGCGAGTAGAGATAGTGCCGGCAGCATGCTAAGGAGGTCAACAAACGCTATTGTTCGGTACTCTGTAGCGGTGATCTAAGCTTCGACTATTTTTTCGCCATTGTAGAGTCGCTATAAGTGGCGCTCGTGCTTTCAGGGCCAATTGAGGTGGCACTAAGCTGGTCAGCCACTTGGACTTCACTTGAAGGTGGAACTATAGTGGTGGGGATTGTGTTTGCGTTTGGCAGGCTAAGTTTAGGTTTCATATGTAAGTGGAATGGCGAGGGTGTTAGTGGTGGAGGAGGGGATGGCGGTCTGCCAAATTGTTTGAGTTTCTATAGTAGGTGAGGTTTTGGGGATGGTATTGGTGGTATGTTTGGTTTCCTACCCATCCGATTGAGTTTCAGCAGTAGGTAGAGTTGTAGAGATTATGTTGGTGGTAAGGTTGGTTACCTTCTCAGTCGTTTGAGTTTTAGCAGTAGGGAAAGTTAATGGGATGGGGGTAAGGGTGGTGGTATGGCCAACTAATTGAGTTTCAGCTGTAGATGGAGTAGTGGGCATGGGCATTTTTGCATTCCCATTTGATTGGGCTTCTGTGACCAAATCTCTTGAATATGTGACCTATCAAAGTGCATGGATCACATGTCAAAGTACAAAGGTTACATGTCACATATTCAAGATATTCGGTCACGGGCCATTGGATTAGGTCACAGATCCAGAGATTTGGTCGTCGACCATAAGATCGAGTCACAATCAAATATAAAAGGGCACATGTTAAAGTGCATAGGTCACAGATCACGGATTCAAGAGATTTGGTCACAGACCCAAGAGATTTGGTCACAGGCCATTAAATCGAGTCATAGATCACATGTCAAGTACATAAGTCACAAGTCATGAGGTCAAGAGATTTGTTCGCTGACCATGGCTCATGTTATGTTAAAGATCCAAGAGATTTGATCACATACCATTTGATTGATCATAGGTCATATGTTAAAGTGCATAGATCACATGTCACAAGAATTCTGGTTACATGCCATTGATTTCTACGACCTCAATTATTCGAAATTATCACGAATTCAATTAAACAAATTTTGCTAGTGAGAACTGAAGTTATTGGCTCCGGTAAGTACTCTGTAAAATACATCAGGTGATGTTTTTCAATTTTCAATTTTAGAAAAACCATATTAAATTATATTAGCACTACTGAGTCACGGATGAAGAAGATGATCAATTGTCAACGATGCTCAGTCGATGTTCTCCAATGATCGCTATGTTTCTGACTCTATCTCTACTATCTAAGTAGGCGATGCTCACTCGCAGTTGAGCGGTAATCAATTCGCCGTTGAAGAAGTCGTCGGCATGGTGGATGTCGACTGTAAGAGGGGATGGAGGCGGGCGGATAGGTACCAATTGTTTGGTAGGTAGGGTGGATGGGTGTGGGTCGATTAATTTAATTAGATAATACTATTATTTAAATTAAAACAGAATTAATACCTGATTGTTCCATTTTTAAACTTAATGTCTGAAAATTAATTTGATGCATACTTAATACTCGACTTATGATTTTTTTCCCTTTACAATAACCTATAAATACTTAATAGACTTATTAATATTCTTGCTAGAACATAAGGAGTATGTGAAAACCCTAAATCCAAATCTCTCTAAATCCAACTGACAGTCATGAACCATGCTTGGTGTTGGAATTTCAATTGTTCTCGTCCTGTGAATTTTTGTTGAAGTCTTACATCTGAATAACTATTGTATGCTAAGATCGTGATAGATTAAACTTTGAATT